GGGGGGGGGGGGGGGGGGGGGGGAGTATAGTACTAAAACATGAGAAATGAATTGGTTTATAGCATGCTAATGTGACCAAAATGTTAGTTCTCAAAGAAAATGGAGGAAAAGACACAGAAGGAACTGAAGAAAAAGAAGAAGAAAGCATTAACTTTAATATTTGAAGCTTTGAATTGAAAGAAGCAAAAGCTTTCCCTACAATTTTACAAACGAATTTAAAGCATTCTATTACAATCCTGTATGGAAAGCTTGGAAAAGCACTCTAAATGCTGCTAAATAATGGATCGTAGTTAAATAGTACTTGCATATAAAACAGTGCAACTCTAGAAAGCTTTCAACGCCAAAAAGTAAGAGATCAATTACATCATCCTATTATACTAGCATCAAACAGTTAGAAAAATCATTAATCAACTTAGGTTTTGGATCAATTCCAAGAACTAAAATGCAACAGAATGATACTATCAGAACTAATATGCAACACATAAAAATCATTAATCAACTTAGGTTTTGGATCAATTCCAAGAACTAAAATGCAACAGAATGATACTATCAGAACTAATATGCAACACATACAAACCTAAAATAACCACATAAAAACACGTTGATAAAATCAAAATGCAATTAAAAAAAATGCTACAGAACTAAAATACATACAATTAGCTTATCACAAAAATCCCATAGCTACTACCTTACGTCTATGAATTCAGGTGAAAATATTACTTAATGAAATCAGCCTACATACAACCAAGGAAAACAGATGCCACATTGTTAACACCTTAAAGTCCTGTCATCAACTTTAGTATTTTAACGAACCAATCTTTTTCTCTATGAATAACTACTTTTTGTTTAATTTAAGGTCTTATCATTCTATAAATATCCTTCACAGCTCAATTATTTAAAGATTTGTTAGTAGAAAAGTCAATGCAGTAAATATTATGTAAAACAAAAAATTGAGTACAGAAACAGTACCGAATCGAGGCACTAGTGCCCCATATAACCGCCAGGACCACCATACTGTCCAACTCCATGCTGCCCTCCCCTTACGGTTCCACCCTGTCCCATCTGTGGGTTTGGATATCCACCCTGCACACCGCTTTGACTTCCATATCCAATTACACCAGGACTTATATTTGCTTGACTACCATACCCACTTTGTACTCCAGGTCCGCCGCCTTGCACAGCTGGATTCAGCCCTGCAGCAGATCCGAGCGTCCCTAACAAATTAGTTAGTCCCAACCCAGCACCCTGACTCGCCAGCAAAGCAGTCAGGGCCTGGCCAAGAGCTGGGTTCAATGCTTGAGGAGGTCCTTGGTTGTAACCAACACCAGGCCCTGCAGGTGCCATCAGGTGCCCTGATCCAGATGCCGCCCCACCTGCATAATTCGGATTCTTATTCCTCTGAAACGGCGCATTTTGTACATGATGCTGGTGCTGAGACTTCCCTGGCTTGGGACCGTCGATGGCCCTCTGGCAATGCAACATATGACCCTCAAAGTTCTTGTGGGGCTCCTCCAAAGCCCTCTTAGCACTTTCTATCGTCTTGTACACAAATAGACAGAAACCTTTAGGCTTGCCTGTCACCTTGTCAAGCCCCAATGGTCCTTCATCAACTTCACCGAACTGGGAAAAGAAAGTTAGCAACTTCTGGGGGTCTACATCAGCTCCAACATTGCTCACATAAATCTTCCTCTGCGTATATTCCGAAGCAGGTGGAGCTTGAGGGGTTACTACCGCCGCACTCGACGATGGAACAGGCCCAACCGAAGCCAACTGACAGGCAGTCATCCTATTGCCAATCTTCTTCTGGGGTTCCTTCAGTGCTTTTCGAGCCCCACTACGCTTCTTGAAGAGGATGAAACCGTAACCCTTGGACTTCCCAGAGACCTTATCACACACAGCTTTAGAGTCCTCAATCTCCCCATATTGCTTAAACACGTTGTTCAAAGTTTCCGTATTGGTATCCCATCCGAGCCCGTGAACAAAAATCTTGCGGTGGGATGGGTCCGCATCAGCAACCATTCGAATTCTTCCATCCACATCCGCGTGCTTCTCAGCCGCTTCACGCAGCAGATTTATAAGCTGGTCCTTGCTGAAAGGCTCCAAGAGCTTTTGAATGGGCTCATCGTCGTCGTCAGCAGCAGCAGCAGCAGCAGTAGTTGTAGCAGCAGCTGAGGAGGATGAAACATTAGGGGTCTGATGGTGGTTATCGACAGTAGTCTCATCGCCTTCATCTTCCTCCTCCTCCTCCTCCTCCTCGTCATCATCATCCTCCTCGTTTTCATCTTGATCGCCATCATCTTCTTCCTCAACCACTTCGTATTCCGCTAGATCCTCATGAACGACGTCCTTAACGGGTTCATCTTGGGGCTTGTTCTCGTCGAGTTCAGCTTGAGCTTGCTGCTGGAGCTTTTTGGGAGGCTCGGCCGGCTCGGAGGATTTGGAGGAGTCGAGCTTTCGCTTTCTAGCCATGGAGGAGTAGAAGAAAAACCGAGGAGGAGGTTTGAGGGGGTCTAGGGTTTTGCAGAGAACAGAGAAACAAAGCAAGCGGGTAGGATGCGGCACCAATGTAGATGATAAGAGGATTAGGTCTTGAGATCAGATATTGAGATATTACCAATTTTGGGCCTCTAGAAAATAATTAGGCCCAAGCCCAAGCCCAAGCCCAAGCCCAATTCTTTCTTTGAGATAAGGGATAATAACGTCATTCTCGCATGTTTTGTCCTCACGTGTATACATCTTATGAAAGTTTCCATCCAACGTATAATCGCTCTAAGAAAAATATGTTAACTTTGGAATTACTACAATTGAGTCACTGAAAGTGAAGATACACCTTTTTGGCGTAAATAGTAACTTTCCATTCTTGTAAGTCTTTCTTAGTTATCCTGTCACTAAGATCACTCTCATTTAGATATGATCTTAGTTTATTTATATACCTCTCATTTCCTTGAGTATCACGTGCCCACTAATTTTCACATTGGTTCATTCTCGAACCCCACATCTTACTAGAAGATACTAGAAGAAGTATCACTTTGATACCATTTCTAAGGACTCATGTCCAAGATTCTGAATTCGCATTTGATATCTTATGACATCGGCAGTCCCCTAGATCTTCTAGATATGGTCACTTTACTTGCTCCTCACTTCTAAAAGTGAAGACTGTCCCCACAAACCAACATAAGTTATTCTAGTATTCTCGCTCACGTGCTTCCTAACATAAAATTTCTCCAACTTTAACTCTCTAGGTACATGATTAAAATTGGCTTTTGGAAATTTTGTAGTTGAGGAGGTTTGTAATCTTAAGAATTATCTTAATCATCTCCATTTTCTAGAATGGAATTTGATTAAACTGAAAGTCTCTGTACTCAGAAACAGCTCTCGATACTTCTCTCTTATCTCATCCTCTCGTTCCTATGTAGCCTCTTCTATTGGTGGGTTTCTCCACCACACCTTGACAATGCAATGTTTCTGGTGTGAAGAGTCTTTACCTTACGAGCCAAAATTTCCAACGGCTTTTTCTCATAGCTTAAGTCTTCTACCACATCCAGAGTCTCATAATCTTGAAGAAAATGAACTCTTCATCTACGTAGCGGAAGCATTGGGAACCAATTGCAACAACTATTCCAATTGAGGCGACTAATTATGCCGCACAGAGTAAATAAAAGTTTTAATGACGATAATTAGCTACTATATAAATGTAATATATCTGATGTTTATCTTCCATGATTGAAGGTATCACACTCTAAAACCTATTGGTAAAGCATATCCATGAGTGTAATTCTATTATGAAGATCTAAGTTTTGAGGCCTTGATCCATTTATTACCTAAACAATATCTAAGTTTGGAGGCCTTAATCCATTTATTACCTAAACAATTTGTCATGGAATTAAATGTCTTCAATTTTAATAGTAACAGTATAAAAATAAAATAGTTGAAAAAAAAAATACAACACCCCTTATCAAAGTTTATTAAAGTTTAGAAATAGATGCAATTGACCTATCCTAAAATAAATGCAACGACTTAAATGCAGAGATTAACTATCATGACATTATTCTACTGTCTCCTCATCGTCTGTTGGGTTCTTGTCAAATGTGATTCGAGTATTTAAAAGTACTTAGTAAGTGACTCAGTACTTAGTAAGTGACTCTACCGTTGGAGTAAAAAAAATGCAATCATAAGCAATATGCTTCATTATGCGACCTACTTTTCGTGCCGATTACTTAAGCATATGGTTCACGCTTGTGTGCATCAACCCATTAGGCAGGCTCAATACATACCTGTTAAACTCTATGAAAATCCACCCCTACTCTACCACCTTCCTGTTATTATTACTCGTTTATCACCACCCTTCCTCATTCCTCATTAAAGCAAGCTTTGATCAATAATTATTAAACTCAGCACTCCTCCATTCCTCGCATCTCCTTATGGTGGTATTTCTCCTGCCTCTCAACCCCCACTATGGTTTGTGAAAGAACGATTTCATTCCCTTGCTTGTTCTAAACATAACTTGAGAACACAAAATAGCGCTAGGAACAAAAGAAAAAGATTTTGAGAGTTGAGCACCGAATAAAAATGTATCTGAACCTTCAAAACAAATGCATTTATCCTATACATACCCGTGTGTCTAAACCATAATAAAAAGCAATTTTGTGATGCAAGGAAACAAACAGTTGGTCGGGAAGAATGGGCCGTAGTTGTTTTATAGCATATCATTAAACATACAATGAATCAAAGCACCAGTTACAGAGACGGAACCCTGAAACCATGAAAGAATTAATGAACTAATTTTATATCAACCAAAGTGCAGACAACTCATAAAGGTATATTTATAGCATGCCACAGCCACTGCTAATGTCCAACCTCGTCATTTGACCGATCATACGTTAATATCAGAGCGCTTTGATCTGGTAGAATTGTTTATCTCCTGGGATGTTGAAAGAGCAAATTTTGGAAGGTTGTAGTTTTCAGAAGCCGAAAATGGCTGCTGGGGATAAAGTGTTGGCGGTGGAGTAAGATTGCGCTGTGCTGGGAGCGGAGGAAGTGTGTTGTACTTGTACGTTTCATTGGTTAAACTGCAATTAGTTTGAACATCAGTACAATAAGCTACGACCCAGAGTCAATGTAATGCACATAAAGGAAGAGATCTTATGGAATCCCATAAGCATTCCAGCAGTTCGGTCACACAGAAGAATTTGCATACATAATTAAATAAGATTCACAAATAGAAACAAAGTTGGAACTCAAGGCTGACAGTATGAAACCATACGGTGGGTTAATCCACCCTCTCTAATTAGAAACTACGTCCTTCTATAACCTATAAAAATTGTCCTTTTGTTCAACAGTTGAGGTCTGAAAAACAAGCTAATGTATATCCCATCAATCAGACGTAATCATTTTATCTATGGAGATAACAAATAGTATTGGAATTATCTTGCTATTAGATAAACGGCCTCTAATTAAAAAAAAAGAAGCATTTTTCTGAAAAAAGTACCTAGCACGGCTGTAGGACTGGTCTTCATCACTGATACCATCATCTAGACGCTGTACAGATTTTGGAACTGAAGACATGGACCAAGTGTTTGCTTCTGGTAAACTATCTGAGAAATATCTTCTCCGGATGAGCTGGAAAAAGAAAATCAACACATTGGATTATCGGGAGAAAGGAGCTATAATTTACAGGTAAAAGAAGAGCAGTAAACAAGATAATAGTAATAGAAATGCTGACCATGCGGAAAAATTTGGTCACAGCTTCCTTGTCATATCTTGCCTCTTTGGCAGCCTGTGTCAAGAACATCCACCACAAGACTAATGAAAATTGAAATAGTAATGTACTGTTCGCAGCTTCAGAGTTCCATAATTTGCATACAATCAGAAGGAATTGGGTGCTATTTTTACTAGGACATTCACTAGTCAGTTAACCAAGCTCACAGAAGTTGGATCATTATTATAACAGACGAAATTAATAATCCCAAACTCTTCAACAGATAAGTTGGGAAAATAGGGAAGTATAGAACACGTGAATGAAATGAAACCATGTTATCAATAAAAGAATTCAAAGCTATTACCCACAATCTACAATCTTAAAAACATACTAGTAATCAATTAAGATAAAGTTTGAGAAATAGTAGGAAGAAACAATAATTCTTACAGCAATAAGTCCTCCACCGCCAGGGAAACTTTCAGTTAATGGAATTTCCTCACTGAAGGGAAGTAGACCCTGCTTCTCAACCCACTGGCGAGCAGCATCAACTAGATTGCCACTACTTCCTCTTGTACCCTCTTTAGCAGCAATATCCGCTTTGTTACCAATAACAATAAAAGGAACAGGAAGGCCACCAGGGCCTCCAGATCCTAAGGGAGCCGAAAATGTCCCAACTGTTGCAATCTCTACTGCCCACTTCTGTAGGCTTGATTTTGTTCTTCTCTGGGAAAGATCATGAACAAAAATGACACCTATATACAAAATAAAAGAAAAGGGGATGCAAATTAAACTTTAGGAAAACGAAGAAATTTAAGGAAGTGAAATGACCAAGAAAAAAAAAATGGAGGGAGACAAGCCATAGAAGGTAGTTGATGTTGAGGGTCAGAGCCCCACCTTCCAACTATGGCTGATGAAGCAAGAAGTTCATAAAGTTCCAGCAAGGCAGAAAGTGTTAAAAAGACATCCAGGATGTCCAGGACCCTTTTACATAGAGGACACCATTGGATGAGCTCAATAAAAATTACCTTCTTTTGAGTACTTCTAATACTTGCAATCCAAGCAGTGTTTTAAAAGACTTGAGGTGCACACCTAAGTGCTAGGAGTCACAATTGCCCTCTTTCGAGATTTGCAACGCGATCATGTGGTATTTTAACTCTTGCCCTTGAGTAATTAGATCGCAAGTGAGCCAAGGACACAAATGGCTTACGGTTTAGCTTTCACCCCTTTCTTGGAAAACAAGGTTGAAAGAACATTTTCGAAAACAATTTGAGAAAGCAAATATCATAAGCTAGCAAGCAATAAGGGACAACAACAATGATAGCACATAACCCAGGTAGAAAGATTTAACGACTAGTCGTATCCCTCTATAGTATATCCGAAGCAAATTGCCTTTGGCGGCTGTAACCACCAAAAGTGGTGATGAGTCATATGTTAACGAAATTATAAGAAAATAAATAACTATGCTAGAACGAAGAACATACATTGAAAGCAAGGTAAAAAAATTTGAAATGAGTATGCGGTCACAGGCAACACACCCTGGATAAGCATGATTGTGACATTTTCTCACATTTAGTTGGTTGACATCCTTGTCAACTGGCTCTGCTCGAACTCAGCAATGGGAAAAGCGTCCGACTTCAAGTCTTCAACACGTTCTCAGATTATAGGGAAGTCCCTTCCATCATACAAGGAACTCTTGCACAACTCTTTTCGACTGGTTGAGTCGTTGTGTCTTCTAAGCTAGGATCTCTTCGACAATATTCTTCATTGCGATAGGAGGTCGTGTCACCTCGTTGCACCCTATGCTGTCTAGATAGGGATGGTAGGCTTTCAAGTTACTTACATGAATGTGAAGGAGAATTTTCATCCATGAAGACAATTGAATTTCATATGATGTCTTTCCGACCATCTAATAACTTCGATTGGTCCTCCATATTTTCTCACATGATGTTGGTCCATATTGCCTAGGAATCGAAATTGTTTTGGTTTCAACTTGGTTAAAACTTTGTCTCCAGATAGAATTCTAGTGGCCTGCAGTCCTGATCAGCCCATTTTTCATCCATCAAGATGTTTTCTCTAGGTAAGCATGAGCTACCTCTAAGGTTTGTCTCAACTCTTTGATTAAGTTGTGGGGTTCGAGACTCTTTCCGGCACAAGAGTGATCGATGACATGAGGCATGAGTGGTTGTCTACCACACATGATCTCAAAGGATGTCTTTCCCATTAGAGAACTTCTTTGGTAGTTGAAGCTAAACTGAACAATATCAAACATTTGGACTCTATTCTTCTATCGAGCATCGATGAAGTGATGCAAGTATTCTTTGAGCACATTGATGCAAGTATTCTTTGAGCAGATTGTTAACCCTTTTGGATTGCCAATCAGTTCGAGGGAAGTAACTTGAGTGAACATTCAAATTGGATCCCAATAGCCTATACAATTATGTCTTGAAAGTTCCAATGAATCTTCCATCTTGGTCATTGATTATACTACCAGGTACGCCCCACAATTATGTCTTGAAAGTTCCAATGAATCTTCCATCTTGGTCATTGATTATACTACCAGGTACGCCCCACAATTTGACAGCTTTCTTTAAAAATAATTGGCTTGTCATCTCAGCCAAACACGACTTAGAAGTCAAGATAAACATGAAGTACTTTGAAAATCTATCCACATTCACAAGAATCGCCTCAAACTCTCCAACCTAGAGAAGGTGAGTGATAAAGTAGAGGGATACAATCTTGTAATCGTGGTTCTTTCAACTTTGTCCTGCAACTGCATAATATCATCCCGAAGATTTGGCCAGCATTACCTTTGTTTAAGTAAGGCATAAGTTTGTTGCCTACTCAGGTTCTCCAAGCAAGGAACATACAAGTGGTTGCCTCTAGTGAGAAGCAAGTCATTTTTGGTCTAGAACTAGCGAGTTTTTCCCTTTTTGGCTAGCTAGTTAGATCATAGCTTGGGCAACTGAGTCTTTGGACAAATGTTCTTTGATGTTGTATCGTATCCTACCACTTGAAATGAGCAAGAATGCACAGGGCTGCATGTCTACCTTTTCAACTAAGAGCATCTATTTCTTAGTTCACCCGATTGGGCTTGTGCTCAAATTGAAAATCAAATTTTGCAATAAACTTCTGTCGACAAGTCTATTTAGAGGCCCACTTAGGCTAGTTGAAGAAGAGGCATATCGAATTATTGTCTGTCATGGCTACAGATTTGACTCCAAGGAGATAGTCTCCCAACCTGCCAACAACGGTCAACATCTCTTTCTCAGAGGCAGCATGCCTCCTCTCAGCATCATTCAACTTTCTACTCACATATACAATGGGTTGCCCGTCTTTAAGTAAGATGCCAACCAAGACATAATGTGATGCATCCATCTCAATTTCAAAGGGTCTTGTTCGTCGACAATTCCGAGTATTAGCCCCTCCATCATGGCTTTCTTCAGGTTTTCGAAATAAACTTGACATTCTGGAGTCCAACTCCACTTGTAATCTTTCTTCAATAACTCTATTAAGGGCCTTGTCCGATTATAACTCTATTTCGTCTTGTCTCGAACGCTTTGTTCATATAGTTTTGACTCAAACATGGCTTCAACCCTTCAAGAAAAAAAACATAAAACTGTCTTTCTCGGACATATCATGTATGTCCAACATCAATCCTAAAATTTGTTTAACGAAGTCTCATATATTTCCTGCATGTTTCAGTTCTCTCGATTTTTGTCTAGCTAGTATCTCAACATAGAACAACTGTGAGCAAAGCCTTGTTTTAATCTCCCCCAAGTGTCAACAATACATCGACCATCCAGGATATCTATGTACGAGGATTTTAACCACAACTTTGCATTATCATCTAGATGCATTGTCACAAACATAACCTTTGCTTCCTCCGTCACAGTATAGTAGCTCGAAAATACTATTTAAGGTCAAAGATAAATCTCTCTAGAGCCTTTGCATCTTGGATCCCATAGAAAGGCTTAGTCTCCAAGACTTTTACCTAGTTAAACTAGTGAGGTTTAGTCTAGCGCTTAGATCCACCACCTCAGCGCTGACAACATCAAGGACAACCTTTACATCTTCATAAAGGTCTCAGACCATATGAACTATTGCTTTTTGGGAATGTTTAAGTCTTTGATACGCTCTTCCATGTAGGCAACAGAGCCCATCAAGATACCCACACACTCAAAGCAACCAAGTCATGTGGCTTTGCCTTCTACGGTCTAAACCCTTAACATCAACTCTTGAATGGACATCCTACCTAACGGGCTAGCTACCACATCAATCTTGTCGAATTTATTGGCAATCTCCTTTAGGCGAGATTCCAAATACTGAACATTGTCCGGGACATATTGCAAATAGCACATTTTCTCTTTGATCTTGATCAACCGATTAAAATGGGACTTGCCCAACATCTTAGTTGCGGACATGATTGTCGATACATTTCTAGGAGTCAACTAGGCTTTAATACCAACGGACACAATCGCACTCTTTCAAGACTCGCGACATGAATGTGCAGCACCCACTCTTGCCCACTCACTCTTGTCCACGAGTAAGTTAGCCAACTAAAGCTTGAATTATCGTTGATTCAGTGACACAAATGGCCTATGGTTTAGCCTCCATCACCATTCTTGGAAAATGGGGTTGGAAAAAGTTTTGGAAAGAAATACGAGAAGGAAAACATTATAAGCTAGCAAGAAATATGAGACAATAACAACATTGATAGCATATAACTCAAGTAGGAAGATTTGACGACTAGTCGTATCCCCCTATAGTACAATTTGAGGCAAGTTGTCTTCGGTAGGTGTAAACATCAAAATTGGTGTGGAGTCATATGCCAACGAAATTACAAAGAAAATAAACAATTGTGCTCAAGTGAAAGACATACAATAAAAACAAGGTAAAAGGGTTCGGAATGGGCATGCAAGCACGAGCAACATGCCATGAATAAGCATGGTTGTGACACTAGGCACAACTCCAGCACATATGCCTTTTGTTTTACAAAGAGGGCACCATCATGGTGAGATAAAGCTAAAGAAAGGCCCTTTTAAATAAGATAAAAAAAAAGGTTAACACTCTTATGGGCGAGTTCAACAAAAATTACCTTTTTTTGGGTACTTATACATGCAACCCATGTCGAGTCCGTGTTTTAAAGGGAACCTTGAGGTGTGAGCCTAGTCAATAGGCATAACTCTAGCACATATGCCTTTCATTGAAACCTTGAGGCACTTTAATTAAAAATCATAAGACAATTCCTAATTCTAAACACAAGAACCCTTACATTTATCCCTTTTTCATATTCCCATCACAACCATGTATCACCTTACCATAAAGTCCCCAGATCATGATTTCTATACTATTTCTCCAAGATTCTTCTCCAAACTTTCTATATCCTTTTCTTTGTTATAAATCATTTCTTTCCATTAATGTTTATTTTATTTATTTATTATTATTATTTATTATCATTATTTTTTCATTGAAACAATTTCATAGATAAAATGAAATGGTACAAGGGTAAAACCCATCCAAAAGGATTACAAAAAATTTCTCCAGTTTATTAAGCGAGGATTTATGTAGTAGCTATTACAAGAAGACATGTTTTATACCACGATAAAGAGCATAAAAGGGAGAGGCTTCTGAAATTTGCATGAATGTTTATTATTATGTATATCTACATCTACCTATATATTTATGTTTAAGTATTTTTTTTTTATAAATAATTTGCTTCACAAAAGGTATTTGATGTACCTTAATCTAATGCCTTATCAGGTTAAGAAACTTCAGAAATATGCCATAAAAACGAGGATAAACCTCCCAAATAGTACCAGTACATTGTCAATCGTTAGTGCTTGAAATTGTATATGCAGCATGCTGAAGAATAAGACAAATGAACAAGTTGAAATTTCTGTAACTGATATTTGTAAGAATAAATATGAAAACTGGCAGGTACCAAGATCTTACCATTAATCTGAGAATAGAAAAGGGAGCGACAGTCTTTGTAGCGCTCGTGTCCTGACACATCCCAAAGTTCAACAAAGAAATCTCTCTCGGCATCACCTTTTATGCTACTTGAAGAGCTACCAGCATTTCCATAAGTGATATGCTATCAAAATAGTAAATAGAACAACTGATAAATAGTGAATTTCCAAGAATAACTGATGCCACTTGAGACAGAAGGCAAGTCTTACCTTAACTCCAACTGTACAGCCAATTGTTTGAGAAGAGCAAGAAATAGAAGAACCGTTTACAATTAGATGAACAAGAGAAGTTTTCCCCACACCTAGAAAAAAATATTGAAATTCAATTTATCCAGTATAATATGGCCGGAAATTTAGAGGTTCAATAAAGTAGCACTAAACTAAATGACAGAAAGATTATAAATTTTTATTTTATTATTATTATTTTTTTTTTCGACATAAACTAATTACAAGAAATAGACCCAATCCATGTGGTCATAGGTCTTCTTGAAATTAATCTTAGAAATAACACCCTGCTCCTTGCTAACTCTGAAATCATTCGTAATAAAGATCTCCAGGATTTCTCTCCCTTCAACAAAAGTCCACTGAAATTTGATACAATACTGGAAACCTGAATCTATTAGCCAAAATTCTAACAATTATCACAAAAAGGCTACAAGTCGATAGGTTTAAGATCCTCCACTTTCCTAATGCTCTCTTTCTTAGGGATGAGATGAATAAAAGTTGAGGAATCATCGATCATTCCATGAAAGGAATAATAAATTATTAAGAAAAAGTTACTGATGGGATAAAATGCATTTACAATTACAAGTCGGACTATAGAAAATTTATTGAGTGCAAATCACAACTTACAGAAAAGTTTACTCAAGAAGAATAAAAAGAGGCAAAAGAAATACACAATTCTGCATATTATATTATACATTTTAAGAAAAATAACAACTAAACAATTTAAATTTATCCTAAACTTCATCCTCCTAACTATTCGCCTTCCCCAAAACATCCCTGTTCTCTAGAAAGAGACCCGTACACAACAACTGTAAGAAGTTACATGGTAAGTGACAAGAAAAGAAAACAAACAAAGCACAGAAGTCAGAAATAGGTTTAAAAAAAAACTTCTGATTGCAAAAGCTCTGAGACTATTCTTTTCAACTAAAAGTAAACATAAACTTCATTGTGGTCTAAAACTGAAACATAAAGTGAAATTATTACTGAAGAACGTAATTAAGGCTACATTTTGATTGTGCAGAAATATGGGAATCAACCAAGTCTTAGACTTACTCTTGGTGTTCTTTTTCTAAGCATATTTATAATTATGCCTGTAATAACTCATTCAAGTTGCATTCCTTGTCAGGGGTGGGATGTAAATAAATTGTAAAAATCATTATTGTTGGGCTGGATAGAGGCTGTTCTTCATCATTCTCCACTAGTTCAGTATATCTTATCGTACCTTAGTGAAAAGTGTTTCTGTTTGAAATAAGAAAAGGTATCGTCCATTTCAAGGAAAAGGTACAACAGAAAATTCATTCCAAGTAGGTCAAAGACAATGTTTATAAAGCACAAGGCACGCTATAGTCCTGAAATGTAATAGAATTTTTATATATTAAGAAATATAGTATAATGAATGATAAGATAATGAAAGTTTATTGAAATTTGAGGTTTAGAAGGAGACTGTTGAATTATATGAACCTCTTTTATAAGAAAAATGAACTAAAGTAATCCTAAACCCTAGAGAACTAGTCTTAATCTCAAATATATAAACTTAGATCTGATGAATATGCTTAGGGTATATGCACTTCCCTCAAAGATAAATTGTATTTTGAAGTGAAAATAGGGCAATAGATTTATTTACCACACATTCCTGATGTGATGAAGTATACATAGAAGCAAACATTTTTATGTCCAAAATTCAGTAAATGACTGTGAGCTATTAGTCTTTCGAATTTATGTCCAGGAACACAACACTTGCCAAACCACATGCCATCAAACCACTTTGATTTTGAAAATTTTGAAAGTGTTTACTAATCAAGTTCCCATTCAGACATGGACAATTCCATATTCCAAGTTACTATATCAAGAGGATCAAAATCACTGCCTCACAATTACACATCGTAAACTCTGAACTCAGCTATAGAAATAATTATCTGCCCAAGTAGATTAGCTAAACAGTGAATATGGAAAACAAAAGCAGAGGATCCTCACAGTTATACAAAACGTTTCAGTGGAGCCACCAGCAAAAAAAACGAGTAAAAAAAATAATAGGCATTCCATCACAAAACGCAGAAGCAACGAGACTAGAATGATGCAAGAAATAACCTGAATCACCAACCACAAGCACTCGAACCTGCCCACAGAGAGGACCGCCATTGAGTTCTTTGTTATCCCTATCGCGGTCCTTCCAGAACATGTTTTCTTCCAGACCTTCTAAACCGTATTCACCTCCGAAGAAGAATTCAATAATTAAGTGCCGTCAAACTGACACAACCTCCGCGAAGAACAATTTCTGAGCATATGCACCTCCGAGTTCAATCTGAAATCCATATTACATGAGAACTAAATGCAGATCAAAGCTGAAATAGGAAAAACCATGTCCAAACATCTGTCAAACAGAGTAGATAGCTTCTTCAAGAGGCCCGAAAGCAGAGATCTAGTTGCTGAATCATACAAGAAACAAGGGTTTGAAAATTTTGAGAGGAATAAAAATGAAGCGAGGATTAAGGATCTAGAGGATGGCGTTGGAAGTGAGATTTTGTTGAGTGAGAGATCTGAAAGAGAAGAAATGTTGAGAGTGGAGTGAGATTTGAGAAGGTTGAGAAGACGAAGAGCGTTAAGCACCGCGCGCGCGCAAGGAGAGAGAGGAAATGAAACCGACGAAGGTATTGAGTGTTCGTCCGTTTACAAAACGACGCTTCATCGGGGACACCTTTTTTTTCTTTTCTTTTCTTTTCTTTTTTTCTTTCCATTTCTCTTATTTATTTTCGTTACATACTAATTAATAAATCTTCCGACATAAAAAAGTTGATGCAAAAGTAAATAACAAAATCAGATCTATAGAGTTCATAGCTTCATTTTTTTTTTATCGGTTTTGATTTTTTTTTTTTTATGAACGAGTTGAGTGGTTTCAGATTAAAAAGTTGCAATTGACCATTACTTTTTTTAACGAAGAATTGACCATAGTTCTTTGTATATATATTCGTTTTATGATCCTAACCTTCCCACCTTCAATTATAATACATATTTTCTTTTTCTTTAAATTGTTACCCTTTCCCGTTTAAACCCACAAATATTCCTCAATAATAAAAGGGTTTTGTGTAGTGTCAAGTAAAATTGAGTACATGAATGAATAAAAATTACATTAGAATGAAAGCAATCCAGAGTATAGATGACTAAGAAAAGCTTAAAAAGAATGGAAAGTTACTGCCTATATGAACCGGGTGCACTACCCTTTTTTCTGGCTCAACCATAGGAACTCCCAATTCAATTGGAACAATTTCATGTTGGGTGATTGAGGACAAAACATGTTATAAGGACTTATGTTGGGTTTTGTAGATAGTTTTCACTCTTAGGAGTAAATAACCTGACCATATCATCACGGAATGCTAGGGTCATTGAGTGCCGAATTCAGATTTTGAATCTTGGGTATGGGTCATTACAAGTAGAAACTCAAAACCCAATGAAATTATAAAATTAAAAGAATTCTAAAATCCCAAAAGATTCCTTTTTCCCAAGGGTATATAATTCAAACTTACTCGAAGGAATATTTTTCAAGTAAAATTCATCATCAAACGTTGCCCAAATGCAGTTTTTAAAGTAACACGGTGGAGAAAGCCGATACTAGTTGTCTAGCCAAAAACCTCAAATGAAGCATGTCCGTTCAAACTATTAAAATTGCACAAAAACAAAGTCGTACCCCAAGAGTTCATTTTGAAGGTCTAGTTGAATTGGGCTTGCTTGTCCAAAACACGTTCAATCATAGCCATATTCGCTAACAAACAAAGGAAACGAGTTTGATCCTTCCATTACAAATTCAACGGGGTCTACTAAACCATTAACAATATTTGCACAAATATTGTTAAGAGGCTGTGGTGTAAATTTACTCTCGCAATCTCGAGTAAAAGAATACAAGTGCACTTCAAAAACCAACTTGTTGTCTAAGGTGCTTACATTCAAGGGCTTCTCTTTTAAGCATAGAAGATCCTTTTCATAATTTAGGCCATAAACAATCACTAAAGTTATCCCATTTTTTCATTTTTACTTTGTTCGAGCTTGGTATCCTCTTTTTTTTTTACTGTGGTGAAAGGGATAACCATAACATTGCTCATATATATACTATTTATTAAGTTCAAATTTGTTCAAAGTTTGTTGTGATGAATAGTGTACTCGGAGATCCAAATTAGGCAAGAGATAATCAGAATGTGTACTGGGTCGATGTGTTCGAAAGAGCCATTTGCATTCGATGAATAGTGTCGATGGTTGCAAGTAAAGAAATCAAGGGTTAGATGAGACATGTGCCGATCAAGTACCAAATTGTGCAACACAAATCCATATGGGTGGACGACGTTGCTGTAAGTGAGGTATTTGAGTTAAGTTGGGGAGAGCTCGAGAGAATGGGTTGCTCACCCCGAAAAAGTGCTCCATGAAGCAAGTACACGTGTTTTTCTTGAGAAATCACCTGAAGCTTAAGGTGGATAGCTTTACAAGAGTTGTCGAAACCAGCATCCGCTCAAGAGAGAGCCTTTGACTGTACATGAATTGATGAAGAGAATGAAGTTGCGGCAAGACTAGAGAAGTATCAGTAAAGTGTTTACCATAAGATGGTAGCCTAGTTGAGAAGTTGGTTAAAGTGTAATACCAACATGAGGTTGTGTTAAAAATTTCTAGACCTTTCTTTTGTAAAGGGTTGTAGCTATGATGAGAAAATATCGTGAGTCACATGCCCACCTTGTCACTGTAAAGGGATGTGGCTATGACAAGGAAATGTTGTGATATAGATCTTCGTATGACTCAGAGAAAACAATGGTTGAGCCTAAAGTGCCACGTCTAGGGTGCGCTCCTCCTTGCTCAGACGAGAAACATCAATGCTAGTTTTCCCATGGTTTGTCTGGTGAATCTTGGGCTAAGATCGAGAAGTAGGCGAGTAAGGTCCATGGTTGGATAGACAACCATTGGGCAATTGTGTTTTTTCGTTCTTATGTCGCGAGTCTCAAAAACCGTGAGAAAGCCCGACAATGGATTAGCCCATAAGTAGTGCACAATTTTCTATACTCATTCTAGGGTGTGATAAACTTTAGCGGGTCAAGTAAGCAGCCAACACGATATTTGCATCATCATCGAGACGATGCCGAGATTAAGTGGAAGAGAGTGTCACAATCCACAATGCGGTTGTGTCATCGGTTAATTCATCTACTTAAGGGAACTAGTTATCTACTTACCCTATAGGGGAAGAAGTAAATTCACGAGTCACATGTCACTGGTTAACTCTCTATTAGGCATATTGAATCGGCTTACTAGCCCTCATAAGCAAGAGTAAATAACTCACCTCGGATTAAGATCGAGTCACATGTAATCATCTTATGAAATATTAATCTTCTTAATTAATGTTTTTATAAAAAGATATTAAATATTTTGTAGTCTAGCCTTATACGAACTTATTGTATAGATACCCACTCACATATCTCCACATAATGATTGGATCAAATTATTTGTAATAATTACAAAGTAAGTCGTATCAATAGTATTATCACGAAAAGGAACCAAACCTAACGCATGACAAGCCTTAAGGTTATTACTCAAACATGATCCTCATGTATGTCAACTACGTATATTTCAAGATTACATTCATCACTTTAGATTTCTCCTACAATAAATAATATTAAATTATAAATAAAATAATCTAAATAGTTAAATAATTAAATACAAGTCTTTAGAGCATAAATCCCGACCAGAGTGTCACAACATCATTATTAAGATACTAGGTTTTAATCCCCACACACGGGCAAACAAGGTGGCGACCATTCGGCCATGTGAGGATTGATATAAATAAGTGTCACGATGCGACTGAGAAGGACGGTACATCATCCAACATACTAAGAGCGTGCATTAAAGCAAAGTTGAAGCATAAACAAGGTGAAGAGAATGAGGTAACACGAGTGTTAAAGGCAAGCTCGGAGAGGATTAGGTAGTGCCCTTGGTCATAACCTCAGAAGTTGGCATTTCAATATGAGTTTCGGCATACGGCTGTAGAGTTTAGTCCGTCTATATGAAAGATGAAAACTAAAAAATTTGGTGTCAATCGAATATTCGACAGACGCTCCACGAGGCCCTATGACTACTCGCAAAAACGACTTCTACTCTAAAAAGATTATAAATTCTTCAAAACATACTATAGAGGGATACATGGGGTCAGCACTCCACCACACCACCCTGTGACACATATGTGTATCAGACCGTGCCATATATGACACCCAAATCTTATCATTTCTGAAAAAAGAGCGAAAAAGAAACGATTGACGAACTATGGGATGATTAAAGCAACTCAAGGAAGCGTGTCTATGGAAGCTCAGTGGTTTGTGAATTCAGGAACTAGGGTTGGAAATGGATGGCCTCTGAACCGCCATTTCCAGAGAAATCGGAAAGCCGCTCATTCCGTTACTCTGTCGATGCCCAGCCGCCGCCGAGCTGTTTCTCGTCGGCGGCTCACCGTTACGGCGGCGGCGGTTGCGGAGGCGAACAAGAGTTCGACGAAGGCGGAAACTCCGGTGAGGATAGTAGCGATTGTTGGTGAAGGAAGCATTAGCCCCTTAAAATCCACTCCCTGGGAAGAAGTTCTGCTTCATACCGTCAGTACTCATTCTCAATCTCTTGATCTTCTTTCTTTCTTGATTTTTTTCTCTGAATTTTTTTAACTTTCGATTAGAGAACCCAGTTTTTTGTTGAAAATTTGTTTAAATTAAGCCTCGTTTACATGTTAAAATGGAATTCAAACCTAATTTTAAATTTTAGAAACCGAAAACTTAAATTCGAATTGCTATTAAACAGGATCTTAGTATCTCGTTTACATGTTATTTGTGTAAAATTTAACCTAACCATCAACAAACTTCGTTTTGTTCTGAATAGCATGTTCATGTGCATACAACGTTTCTCTGTCCATATCCATAGTCGAAGAAAAAGACAATTAAGAAACTACTTTGACGGATGGCTCCAGCATTCCCCTGCATTTCCTCCCTTCAACATGGTCACATTGCCTCTTAGATCTAAGAGTGAAGACGATCCCCACAAACCAACAGGGGTCTTTTTAGCATGTTTTGTTTGTCCTTACTCACATGTATCTAGTAAAATTCTCAAGTAAGACTCGCTTAAATTGGAGAATTTGGAATTCCTATGATTGAGCCACCGAAAAGGAGGGACACTTGTTGGTATAGCTAGTAACTTTAATTTCTTTTAAGCCTTTCTCAGTCATTTTATTATTAGGATTACTCTCATTTGGATGTGGTCTTTGTTCATTCATTTATCCCTCCTTTACTCAGGTGTCACGGGGCGATGTTCTTTATCTATGGTTTGGTTTTTGCTGTGCTTATATCCATAAATTCTATAGTGTCAAGATTAGTTTCATTTTTGTTGAGAAGTGGAAGAAGATGAAAATAAACCAGAAAAGAAGCATTGTCTTTATTTAGCAACCTCACCAACTTTGCTTACCGGTTTCTATGATGCTCTTTATAAACAGGCAAAACGACTAAAATGGATCGACGAAAGCTACAAAATGCACGTCTTTGCTGATAGGTTCTGTGATGTAACTCATCCCGACACCAAAAACATTCAAATCGTTTGCAATGCAGATATTTTGGTCATTGTTGCTGTCACGAGTAATGATTCAGTTGTATGGATACAAACGAACTGCAAAAACGTCCAAAATATAATCTGCTTCGACTCTGCAACAGAGTTGGTTAACAAATTAGGGGGGTTATCCTTCCCCAGTGAAACCGAAAGAAATGTACTGGGAAACATTTTTGGAAATTCTCAGGTGTTGGAGAGAAGAAAGAAATCTGAGGAGGTAGTGCAGACCGTATTTGAGGCGTGGGATCGTCGTAATTCGGACGATATACGGTTCTGTTTGTTGGTAATAATCAATGCATATATAAAGCCTGTTCCTATATTGAAGAATCTAAGATCAAAAGGCTTTTCAACTCTAAACTGCATGGTAAAGAATTGTGGAAGGCAAATATTAAATTGCTTGATGGATCCTAATTGTAGGAAAGCGCTTCAATGCTTGAATCAGTGCAGCCCTGTGGATCAAGTGTGCAACTACAGGTGCATTGCTTCCTATGAAAGTCCAAATCTTGAAGCATTTTCCTTATGTGTGCTGCAAAAGAACAATTGTCTCGAGTTGGATGCAAAAGTTCCCGAAAAGCCCTACGTGTCTCCAATGGAGAAATTTCGAGGGAAGGACCTATGTCACGAAACAGCGGAGGATCTTTTTGTTGGTTGGTTAGGGAATTTGGAGTGGAGTTGGCGTGTGGTAGCTGGGCAGAACCCTGCTTATGATCAATTTCCATGTCAATACCAACTGTTTTACAGGGGGAAAGCGAGAGGATCGTTCTGGTACGAGCCTGTTTTCATGGTGAAAACATTGGAAGGAAAGATGGTGTGGAGGCGACGAAGATATCGAGTAAAGAGGGGACAAACTGCAGGGACATTCTTGTTCAGTGTGCTGGATAATGGTGTTGTTTCAAATGAATTTTGGAGTATTGTGGATGTATGTGAAGATCTATCTTGGGGTTTGTTTCATTATAAAGGCGCTGCTCGAGCTGCGGGACAGTCGTATACGGGCGCTGTTCTTGTGAGTCCAGATGGTTCATACCCTCAGAATGATCATCAAAAAGAGAGAGTGGTTGCTGCTTTGGAGAAATGTGGAATTAAAGAGTGGGAGCTCTTTGCAGTTGATAACTGTTCATGTATTGATCCTCCTCTTGGAATTCCAGACGCTTCAACTTTGCATTCTGTGATTCAGGTTAAATGAAACTATGAGAGGGAAACACCAACTTCCTTTACACATTAAAACCTCAGGCGATGGCTTTGTTGAGATATAATATTTACCGATGGAATATATCTCAGATATTATATCTCAACGTGCTTCCAAGAACCCTTATGGACTAGAATCTCTCAAATAACTTAGTTTCATTTGAAATGATATGAAACTCTCGAAAATTTGATCTAACCACCATATTGAAGAATAATCAATAAGATTTTAAAGAACTCCAAAACGAGAATGAATCACCTCATTTCAGTTACCTTTTAAACAAATGTATAAGGCAATAAAACTTACTTGAGATTCAAATCACCCGAGTAAGAATAAGTCAAACTTAAATAATTCTAAAGCAGGTAACGTAACCAAAAAAGACTTACATGTTTTGTATAGTAAAATTCTTGTACTTCCGTCGTTTCAAAAGTTTTAACTTTCATACTTCATAATCATAACTAGTTAGTCATTAGTAAAAGTAACCATATTGGAAAATTGAGGTAATGTAAAGTCTTAATTAGTCTAGTACAGTGTTGATGATCGTTTCATATTGAAAATTGACGAGCGGAGATTTGTTAGGCACGGAGGTTAGTATTTATTATTATTATTATTATTATTATATTGTCCTTTCTCAGGTTGCCCACATGAAGATTCTCTCTCCTGCCAACTCAGCAAGTTCGTTACAAAGGAATGATTGTCTTTTTTTTTTTTTTCGCGCGTAGCTGAAGAGTTTTGAGTCAACTTTTCTTCACCGTAAAAGGGATTTAGTGCAAAAGAAAAGGGAGAGAGCTCCCTGTTCATACTCTCCTTCTACTGTTCTTCGTTCTTGGGCTGGGAAGTGAACATTTATTGAGTCAGTTATTTCTTTCTCCTCTCTCCTATAATCTGTATTCGGTGTTCGTTTGATTGATTGACGTTGCTTGGTTCACTATATTTTGATTATTTGTTTTTCATCAGTTTTCGGTTTCAGTTCTTCTTATCACGTTCTTTTCTTCTTCTTTTTTCAATTTCATTTTGATTTTGATTCTGATAGTTGTGTCGACGATGATCTTTGCTTCATGATTCTCATTTCCGATGCCTTTTCATGTGCCAAACTCACCTTCACTGCTCCTACCCTATCTGATTCTTATTTAATACTGCTATGATTTCTTGCGGATAATTTCTCTCAAGTATGTGATTAACCGTACTAATTCCAAGAAACAGAGGAAATTTTTCTTTATCTTCGAACCCCTGCATTTTAGGACTTTTTTGTTTTGTTTCGTTAATTAAATGGAAACGCAATCTTACATATGAATTGAATGAGAATAGAGCGAGTAGACTCATGAATTTGATGAGATTGTTAGCCCTAACGGACTATTTTACCATAATAATTCAGACTCTGAATTATTTGTGTTCGTTTTTCATGCTAAGCTACTCCTAATGAACGTTTCAGAAACTAGGAAGCATTTCGTCATAAAAGAAGAATAAAAGAAAGGACGCTCCTCTTCCTCACAGGTTGGTTCTGAATGCTATAAACGAATTGCATTTTCACAAAACTAAGGCTGATGTAGCTTCTTTAATTTTCTGGAATCTTGTGATGATATTAGTTAATTTTGTTTTTTCCTTACTGAATTGCATTTCTTTATAGATGAAGAACATTGTGGGAATCTTAGCGAGTAGGGAGATTTCCACAAACACAAAAAAGATACTCGAGTCTCAACGTAGACTTCATTCCTGGTAACTTTACACAACGCTGTGTTCCATAATTTTTTCTCTTTAAATAATGATAACCTGCACTTTCTAATACTAACCATGTATTACGATGGATATTTTAGTGTGGAAGAATATACATTGAAGCACTGCTCAACTGTTCCAATTTTTCATTCCACTACTATACCACAGGGTATAATAGAATTTTTTCAGGGTGGTGATCTATTTTACTGCAGAAGGTAACATTTTCTTTACTGTAAAATAGTTTATGATTGGTCGATCGATATAATGATTCTATTTTGAATATACTTGCAGTGCTATTTTGGAAGATCATCCAAAAGTATTCGAATGGATAACTTCATGCCAGCTTCCAGTGAGATCAATTATTAAATTTGATGAATCAAATTGGAAGTTCGTTCAGGCCGTAAGCTTTATTTTTTAATTGCTTCTATTTTATTTCGAACGATTATTAATAATAATCACGACTAATAATAAGTTTATTCGTCAGGATTATAAAACCGTGCTACAACCAAAACATTTGATGCTATTATCCTCAAGTTTGTCCCTTTTGGGAAGGAATAGGACTTCATTTATTGGGCATTCAAACAGCCTCTAAGTACAGAAAAAACATAAACTCTAGACCCAAACATAACAAACTGGACTAAAGACTTGAATAAGCAATAACAAGAATTATTCAGCATTATTTCTAGCATCATTTGTGCGAAATTGACATTTTGCCTTTTTTTTTCTTCTTCTTCTTCTTCATGATATAACTTCTCAGCTTCAGTGGCATCAAAATGCATCAATTTCAACTCATCTGGCCCTAATATTTATGACGGGTGAAGTAGCTGTTATTGAAAATGCGGGACATGAATACCATTATATCACATCTAGTATTCACTTTTAGCACCTTATTCCTTTTTCTTTTTATTATTTCAACTTTAGAGAAGTTATAAACAACGGTCTGCAGAAATGGATCTCAATTCAATAAAAAAGATAACGGCTAACACTTCCCTGCACTGTGAACTTAAGTTAGATAACTGCATCATCTGTAACAAACTTCAACATCTAATTATTTCTGTACATACTTTTTAAATAGCTTGTATTTACCTATAAATATCATTTAATGAAATATCGTTGTGTAGAACCTACACTGATTGATAGATCCATCTCTTTACATGCTGAAGAAGAAATTCTTGCTTTTACAATAGATAAGGAGGTGAAGTTTTTACCTTCACACATTCATAATTTTAGTTTTATATATCTAAATAATTTTAGTTTAATCGTGGTTCAATAATCGCAGTTACATATTTGGAGATATAACCAGGATAATCATTCTCATGCTATACTAATTGCATCTGGAACAATTAAAAAAGTCCAATTCCACCCGTTGGGTGCGCCATACATATTGACTGCCGAGGTAAATCATTTGAATTTAAAATGCAGTGTCACCTTTTTAGTATATTGTATAACTTGATATAAAAATATGCATGCAGGTGAATAATTGTAAAAACCTCAAACGTAGCGTGCTAATTACGTTTAGATCTTATCATCCAGAAGGGTCAAATGATATACTTTTGACCACTACATCTACTGCACCAGGTGACAACAAGAATTTCATTACCAAGTACCACTAATATACAATGGTGGTTTCTTATTAGCCTACATTTGTTTTTTAGATTTTTCAATCGTTGTGGATGAAAGTGCTGAGGCTGCATCAACATTCCGGATTCGTCGAAAAGTTACTAATTTTTGTCCATTAACTATTGAGATGAACCCTCTTATTACCTTCAATCCACCCGCAAGCGAGAGCTTGATTATGGAGGAACAAACTGTGGTGGAATGCCTCCGTGTTGTGGGACTGAAGATTTGGCAATATGATGCCAAAGCTGACAATGTGCTTGAAAACGAACGTTTATGCATACCAAACGTCGTTCTGAACTGGTATTTTTACACCGTTTGTGTGTTTCTTTTTATTTAGTTATTTTAGATTAAAGTGTGTTGTGGACTTTTGATATGTAGTGAAAGGAGTGCAGACATCTCCCCATGCGGCAAATTCCTAGTTGCTTGTGTTGTTAATCGGCAGAAAGCCGACGAGAAGATCTTCAAATTATTTTACGAGCAGCTTGATGATTCTACACTTTGTACGCTCGTATATGATATAAGGGTGTATTCTATAGCAGATTGCAGGTAATAATACATTTATACATTCTATTGATGAGGCATTTACTTTTTTTAAGCGCTGAATCTTATATTTTTACTATGATATTGTTTGTTTGTTTGCTTGCTTGTGCAATAAATAGTTTTGGTAGAGTTCTTAAAACAAAAGGGATCAAAGCTGGTTATGCGGTGAATGCAATTCAGGTTTGTTGAATATATAACTTCATAGATTTTTGCATTGATTTTCTCATTGAATAATAAATGCAAGAAATGATTACAGTTCTCTCCAACTTCAAAATACATAGTGGTCGGGTACGGCAGAAGGCATTATTCTCTCAAAGGAATTGGGTGGCCTTGTCCATATACTATATTGGAGGTAATTAATTGTACATTTAAATAGTATAGCTTCAAATAAATATTTATTAAATGAAAGTTTTGAGAGTAGTAACTCAGATAACTTATAAAGATGATCTTTAAATAAATTACTTTAAAAATGTCAAAATACCAAAGGAATTTCTCTGCCGGCCTGAACTAAAGAAAATGGAAAATGTGAGACGCGAACCAACTCTTGCCCCACCTTCACTTCAAGAAACACTAGCATGTTCAAAACATCCACAACACATAAAAGAAGGCGATAGAGAGCCCCTTTGCCTAAGCCCTCTAGAAGCAATCTTATCCTTGATAAGGATTGATAAGGATGGAAAAGTGTGTAGACTTCAAATTCCAAATTCAATATCTCCATTCAAACTCAAACTTTTTAATCCTTACGATCTTTTAAGCTATGTGCTCATATTCTGACTCTAATATTAGTCAATGTCATGGCTTACCGTCTGTACTATAGCCCTACAAAGTTTATGCATACCCTAACCCTGTACACTCCTACTCTAGGGTGTATAACTAAGCCCCAGACCATAACATAGAAGGAGCATAAACCATCCAAGTGGAAGGCCACTGACCTATCTAGCTACCTTGAGGGCTTTGAAGAGGTTCTATTTTAAAGCATAAGAGCAACCCCCGAAGCTCCCATAGACACCAGGGCCACCCACTCCACACTTCTACTTCCATATAAGCTTCTATATAGGACCAACAATACTTCTTCCACTTCGTCTCTTGTAAAATAATTGTTCTTACACCCTCAAAAACCAAACATCTCGTCTCTTGGCGCAGTCACGAAGCAAACCTCTCACAAATCTAACAACTTCTTTTTAGTTTGGACGACTTCACTCAAGCAAGCCTCTCTCACCAAATCTAACAACTTCTTTCTAATGTGGATGTCTTTAAAGAGAATCACCGCTCAATTTCCACAAAACCTTCTCTATATC